CATCCGGCAACTTCTAGAGAAGAAGGTGTTGCAGCTGAAAAAGGTTCCGGGAGAGAGAAATCCTGCAGACATGTTGACCAAGGCGGTAACTTTGGAAAAGTTGAAGCTGTGCGCAGCTTCGACCGGGGTTGATAATTAAAATAGACAGACCCGGTAGAACCAGGAGCAGAGATGAACATGTTGATCAATGAGGTGTGAGGACAGATTGAAATCAGTCCTCAAGTGGGAGATTGTTAAGTCAATGGGCAACAACCCATTAAAGATAAATAAAAAAATGGAGTAGCACACCGTGGGAGAAAAATGTTAGCACACATTTGTAGAAATTTTGATGCATTCTTTCTCTATAAATAGAGCTAGAATCATGATGTAAAAATCACAACAAAAGAAAACATAACAAGAGAGATAGAGAGAAAAAGAGTAGAGAGAGTGTATTCATACGGGCTTGTGTGAGTTGTAACATTCGGTTTATCCTCTTTTTCTAGTTCATTCTCCTGGCTTGGTTCTCCCTAAGACGTAGAATTTAATCCGAACTGGGTTAACAAACTTTCGTGTCTTTTATTGATTTCACATTGGTGTGTTATTATTATTCCATCTTATCCGACCTTATTTCCCAACATTGAGGATGAAGTCTGTTACGCGCACAACACCAATCAAGGGGGTGGCTGAAGTGGACATGGTCATTGGACCGTGGAAAGGTACGTGCAAGGTGCATGTGTTGCCTCTTGATGACTTTGAATTAATTCTGGGCATGGATTATCTCAAAGAAGCGAAAGCTTATGTGATGTCGCACTTGAGCAAGATGGTGTATGTGTTGGATGGAAAGAAAGTTTTCCATGATATTCCGTGGGCGTTGCCGAAAAGGAAAGATGCTTTGCGGGTTTCGACTATGCGATTCGAGCAAGACCTGGGGCAGGCTGAAGTACTTGACCTTGTTGCAGCAACTAAGAGCTATTCGGAGGGGCTGGGTACTTGCTGTAGTAAGTCTGATCGTGATACGCTTGGGGGCAAAGGTGAACTAACGAGACGGGTTCATAAGATTTTGGACCGAAGGATCCGAGGACGAGGAAGTAAGAGACGGATTTTTTACTTAGTTCATTGGAAAGGTGAGCCGAGGGCTAAGGCAACCTGGGTTCGGAACGTTGAGTTGGTCCCATTCACGAGGCAGATTGCAAGGTTCAAGGCATGCTTGCAGATTTTTCCCTTGTCGACGAGGGCGTCGACGAACTTAAGTGGGGGAGGTCTGTTACGGGTCTAACTTTGGGGCCCGGGACATGGCACGATCCCTTAGAGTGTCATGGTCCGATACACCCGAGCACAAAGGTGTGAGGGTTCAACTAAGGAAGGATGCGAGCTGGGCACGTCCTTGTGGCTGAAAGTCGGGTTTAGTCGGGTCTTCGTGGGGCGACGAAGACATATGTGCATTACTTAGCTCAAATTGTCCAAGTGTTGGTCGAATCATGTTTGTTGGTTAAGTCGAGGGCTCGGTCGGACGAGGGTTGCTGCAGGTTGTGCATGGCCTTGCGGTTACGTTTAACTCGGACGAGGGTGTTGGCTAATCAATCAAATGCATGGTTGGACTTAGGCGTATTCGGGCACGCGAGTGCTTCGATGATGCAGCTCAATGGGCGCGGCGAGGGTGGCGCTGCGTCTAAGCCGTTGGCGGGAACGGTTGTATTTTGAAAAGGCAGTTGGGTTGCACGTGGACTAGTCGGTTACTATGTCCCACGTGGCCCAAGGCGGATCTTTACTTCGAGCAGTTGCATAACCGAGTGGGAACAAGGAAAGCAAGACACGTGGCTGGGCGGTTTCCAGGGACACGTGGCGTTGACGGTTTTCTAACCTGCGAGGGAGTTGGATAAGGATAAAGCACGACGGTTGGCGCCCGTTGTTGCATGAAGCTGAGTTGGCGTCCGATGGATGCGTGCACGTGCCAAGGGGCGGTTGCGGATAACTGCTGGGCGGTTACCAAGCGGTTGGAACTGCTGGGTCTGAGGCCTATAAATAGGTTGAGGCAGACACATGCGCGGGAGAGCGAAACACGAGGGTGCAAGGCAAACAGATAAGTGAACGAGTGTGTGAGCAAGCCTGTGTACTGTATACTTGTAAATGCTTGAGTTGGCATACGCTAAGTGTAATAGCAAGCTTGTGTAGGCCAAATTCTGTAAGGCTGGTACTTGTATTCATGTATGTGTGTGCCTGCGTGCACTAAGGTGTTGGTGCGAACCGTGTATGCAAGCTGTAGGACCATTCCATTGTACTTTGTGATATAATAGTACTTGGTTGGGCGTGAGCCCGTAATATTGCGTCACTTATTTACTTGATAGCTTCCGCATGCGTATGTTTGTGACGTGCTTGCATAACCTCGATTGATACTTGTATGGGCGAGCGAACGATTGAGGGACGGTGAAAGGCTGACTGGTTCGAGGGGAATCAGGCCGCATAGGGTGCTAAGGAGAGAAAAATTTTAGCCTCTAGCAAGACCCTGTGACAGCTAGGCTAGTGGCCAATGGCCAACGGAACTTTACCACTTTTGTAGTTTCATTCTGTAAATGATGGAACTTCATGAAAATCTTTTATAACCAAATCAAACTAACAAACAAGTTAAAATAACAATGCTATAGCAGATAGTATAATTTGGAATTACACGCATGTAATAACACACCCATAAGCTACACAGAGGAAAGTAACATCCCCAGGTTTAGTAGCTTTCCACAAAAGTTTACACCACATAACACAAATACATCAGGCTAAGATGCCTTTATTGTCTTCAAATAAATACTTTAACACAGTCACAAAACACACTCAGAATTAAACAACAGAATACATAAAAACCGACACACGAGCAACATCACGGGCCTACTCGACGCCAATTCTCTTCCTCGCAGTCAAAACAAACTCGTAAATCTTGTTAGGATCGGCCAAGGACTTGGACACGCTCTCTTTCTCCATGCACCTCTTAGCCCATTCGATCAATTTGGGGCAATGCTCCTCGATGCTGAAGTTGCCAACGGTTTCATATGCATGAAACCAACAGTAGAAAGGAACTAAGGCCACATCGACAAAACCGAAGCTGTCCCCACCGAAGTAAGGCTTGTCCCCCAGCTCAGATTCTAATAGCTTGAGGGCCTCTATAAACTCTTTCTTGCCCTCTTCTTGTTCTTCTCCTTTTGTCGCCCATATCTTTCTACTGGATTGAGGTACCTAATTGGACAATCCATGTGATTATCATGATTTATCATAAGAGTGTTGTAAACCAATTAATTTGAGAGTGATTAATATGTAACTTCTTTTGTGCACTCATTGAACTGCTTGATGAACTTTGTCCCGTTAGGCTGATAGGTTCTCACTGTCTTTTTGCCGAGCCTAGACATGGCCACGGCCCACGGGTCACCCACCGACCTAGCCCAGAACTGGCACGAACTCGGCCCACTTAGACCCGTTGACCACAGGTCTGGGTCTGTGGCCGGATTCAAACCGGGCAGGTTCAGGGTCATATGTACCCTGGCTCGGGAAATCAATAGTAGATTTTTTTCAATTATTTTCTAGGATGAGTCTCGGTTCCGGGTCGGGCCTGGCCCACCGTGTTGTGTACCCGACACGTACTTAGGTACGGGCCGGTTCAAGGTTGGTGATTATGAACCCAACGACCCAACGGGCCAGGCCAGGTTAGGGGAGATTCTAGGTTCCGTTACGGAACCAATCCGTCGGGGTTTGTAACCAGTAGATCACGACCAATTACTAAGAGTTACAAATCTCAACGGAATAGTTACATTTAGCATTATTCTTTAATTAGATACAAAATAATGCACAATTTTGGGATAGAGCGAGGAAAACCAACTGTCAAACTTTAACATTTTACTCAAATTGACAACCACGAAACGGAATAGAATTGTACCTTCTTGTCAACAAAATCAGCCCAGAACCTAGCTTGAGCTCTCTTGTAAGGATCACTGGGCAACAAAGGGGACTTGTCGTCCTTCCAAACCTCGTCTATGTACTGAACAATGATGAGCGACTCGCAAACGGGTTTCCCGTTGTGAATGAGGACCGGGATTTTCTTGTGAACCGGGTTCATCTCGAGCAGAATCGGGCTCTTGTTCGCCAGATTCTCCTCCCTGTGCTCGTACTCGACGCCCTTTTCAGCTAACGCCACTCTGACCCTCATCGCAAACATGCTAACATATGTACCGAGAACGACCACTTCATCCGCCATTGCTTTTGTTTTTTTTGGCTCAGAACAAATTCAAAAGCTTTTTGAGATTGTGAATTTAAACAAACCACTATGGTGTATTGGCAGCACAAATTGGGTTTATATATTATATTGTGTGATGTTTTTGGGAGTGAGAAAATGTATTATTGTGTTGTGCAAGTCAATTTGGATTTTAGTTTCTGGTTTCGAAATTCTTCTAGGTAGAAAAGTCCTACTTCCCTTGCATATATTAGTCGCCAAGCGGCGAGTCCCCAAGCGGCGGGCCTTAGTCAGCGTCTATACGAGACTCATAAATCAAGATTAAATATCTTATTTTTTATTTATTTTTACTTTTTATAAAATAAAATTATCTCAACTTATTAATAAACTGATACTCCTAAGTTCAAAAAATAATATTAATATATTATAAATAAAATATGATAATAAAATAATATAATTAGTATTTAAAAAAATTAGAAAAATAAGAAATTTCCACCAAACATGATAAGAAATAATTTGGTTGTTCCAGGATTGGAGCCACATTCTTCTTTTTTTTGTTCATCGTCGGCCCATTTTAGAAGACATTGTTGGGAAAAATACGTTGAGTTTTTTATCAATATGGATCTATAAAAGTGAAATAACAGCGAAAAATTGGACACACCAAATTGATAACGGAGTCGGCCAATAATGCCTACGTCTCCGCACTATTGCAGATATTTTATTAGGAAAAAAGAAATGCACTTGTGTTTACAAAACACTCTCAAACTCACACTCACAACTCAAATACACACAGAAGCTAAAATATCATGTTTCTCATTCACTCCCTTCTTTTCTTTTGGTTTTCTCTCTTTTGGATGATGTTCTTGGTAGTGGCGAAACCAGGATCCTGTTTCGGGGAGGGCCCAATTTGCCTTTAAAAAAAATTTCACGACAAAATCAAACACAAACACAAAAATAAATGCAAACTATTTAAACTATCGTTCAAATAACATTATACAAAATAAAAATACAATATAGCTTCCAACCAAGGGGGAACTAATAAGAACGGCACGCGGTAACTGAAAGTTCTGAAATCTCTGCAAAATGACTTCATTTTCAATTTTGATAAAGATTTCCTTTTCAATGTAGCACACCAAGCTATCCGTCAAAAAATCCTCTCCCATTTTGTTGCGAAAATCATTCTTGATAATCTTCATCTAGGAGAAAGCTCTTTCAACAGTAGCAGTTGCGACGGGTAAAACTAGTGCCAACTCAATAAGCCGATAAACTAACTTAGGCCCACACCCCACTCCAAATTAGTTAATTTATTGAGTCCAAATAATTACACACAACTCACTAAACTAAGCCCTAGTTGGATACTTGGATTCTAAACGCCGACGGCCCAAATCGCCCAAGCCCAATAATCATTATTATTGACTTTGTTTCTTCGTCACTTCGTCTCTCTTCTTCTCCGATCCAGCTTCCCCTCCATGGCTCCATGGCTCCATGCTCAGCTGCTCTGTGTTTTGGGAGCGGCATACAATGATACATCAAAGATATAATCTCATAAACACATTTCG